CTCAATCTAAGTTAAGTTAAAAAGAACAGGAGTTGATCACAAAAGCAGAAGGAAGTTGGGGTGTACATGTGGGTGTGCAGACAATGAGACCAAGCGTTCACTTGGGTGAATACTGCCAATGTCTTCTGGGTTGCATGGGATTTTATTATGAAATATATATAAACCTATGGTTGATTAAAAAAAACTTATAACAAGTGACTTTTGAGAAAAAGTCTGAAAGTACGACAGAATTAAGGAATGACAGCGTGTTATGAAATAAGTTCTGGGTGTAGAAGGAAATATGAAAGGAGGCACAAAGAGGACAGTCAAACAAGGAGCTTGGACTGAACAAAGAGGGCACCAGAGAGCAAAAGAAAGTATGACCAAAGGTAAGAAAAATTTAAGTTTTAGATGAGCTCAAAAGGGAAAATTAGGAGCCTGAGTGTCAGAGGGGAAAGCAACAGAGGCAATGGGAGGGGTCTGAACTGGGTTGAACTTGGGCAGTGGTGAGTGAAGCACATGATTTTCACAGCAGACTTTTGAATGGATGATTGATGTCTATCATCATAGTCAACGGGAAGAAAGTTGCTGTAGTTAAAGCATGAGATAATCAAGGCACGTATAAGGGCTTTGTGCTGTGAACAGTGAGAAATAGGTGGATTAAAAAATACTGTAGTGATGACCCCAACAAAATGTAATGATCATTGTACGAGGAGAGGAGGGAGTTAAAATGACACCAAAATTCCTAATCTGTGGGAGGAGGAGGATACTGGGGTTGTCAACACTTATAGTGAAATTCAGTGAGGGTGCAGAAGCAGATCTGGTTTGCAAGGAAGAGTGCTAAACTGATAAACTCACAGTGGACAAAGTCTGCACATGCAGCAAAGCAACCAGAAGTTGGGGGTGGGCGGGATGAATCAGTCTGACAGACAAGGGGGCAAAGGAGCTGGGTAGAAAGGTTGGAATTTTAGATGGAAATCATGAATTGGATGGAAGAGAGTGAAGAAACAGAAGGAATGAGAGGCAGGGAGACAAGTAAGAAATGCCAATGGACTAGAAGTAACAGAAGGAATGAGAGCCAGAGATGGGGCAAGTGTGCAATACAGAGAAGGAGATAAAATGATCAGACAGAATTCAGCAGAAGGCAGATCAGTGACAGAGCAGTTCTTGTCAATGATATGGTCAAGGGAATGGCTTGTGTCTTGAGTAGAGAAATTGATCAAAGGCAGTAAGTCAGATGAGGGGGGTAATTAAGAGGAAATGTGAGTCAAGAGTGCCATTAACATGAAGTTCTAAGTTCCCAAGATGCAGGGGCTGGATGACTTTTCACTTATAAAATTTTTAAAAGGCACACTGAAATCTAGTCCAACGTCATACGAGTTAAAAGCAGTTTCAGATATTATACCTGCATCTGAATTTTCCTGTCATTTTTCATATTTTTTCCCAATCACATTTACTTATTTTCTAAAATGCTTTTTTTCCCCCCTTTCTTTCTTTCTTTGTGAAAGACTTACATAAACACAGGATACCAACAAACTAACTACATATGAGAAAGAGTGCAATCTCAGTATGATTCCATTTGCAACTCCCCTGAACTGATTCCATAACTGTGCCCTAAATTATCAGTGTGGTTTACAGATAACTTGCAATAGATGAAACAAGAGGAAAGATTACTAGAGTACCACTAGCAGATGTTCAGATTCAAGTTCAACTATTTGCAAAAATCATGATTTTTTTAAAAAAATGTGTAACACAGCTGTACAGAAAAGGAAGAAAAGTTTCATTCTGTCCATCATACTGCATTTGCACACTGAATAACCGTTCAGGATGATCAATACCCTGATCAATCCAAGCTGCCTCCCTTTGAAAAAAGGGCAGAGTTTTTCTTTCTGTGAGGAATTTGCTGTTCACTTTGTTGATAAAATTACTCTGATTTGGACAGAGATGTCTGCATCCCCGGGTATAGGGCAATGTCTTGAAGGAACAAACAAAACAGTTTCTTTCATTGAATTTTGACCATTGACACTCAAAGTTCTGGAAGTGTTTAAAACACTTTGAGTCACTATCTGTGATGGGGCCATGTCCCTCTTGGCTGGTAAAGGCTAACAGAGAGATAATTTGCCTGTTGGTGGTTTAAAAAAAAAAATCTGTCAGATTCTTTGGCTGAATGTTTGGTGTCCTCAAAGAGACACTGGTAAGGCCTCTATTCAACAAATAACGACATAAACTTTGCCAGTTACACAGTCTCCCTCCTTCTGTTTGAGTGGTCAAACAGGTATGCTATCTGCAGTCTTCAGATTTCCTTGATCTCAGTCAGTCTCATTTTAAAACAGGTTATGAGATAGACACCAGTGGGGGCTCTGATCACAGATTTCTTCCTATCTATGGATGAAGACAATGCACCTCATGCTGATTTTGTTAAGATGACTGGTACCTTCAACACTGCTGGGCATGAGGTAGTATTGAGCTTTCTGTGGTTCCTACCAGCAGTGGATAGAACTGTTCTGAAGTGGTTTTGCTAATTTTTATATACAAGGACTCTCACTGTGATTTAGGGCAAGCATTCATCCAATTCTAGGGCACTCTCATGCAGAGTTCTACACAGTTCTACTGTCTACCTTCTTGTTAAGATAAACTTGAAAACCAACCTGTGATCATGTGCAACTATGGAGAGACTTCATGAGCACCAATGAAGTTGCAACATGGTATCGATCATGGCCTTCTGTCTAAAAAGATTAGGGTCCACAAAAGGAAAAAGTCAGGTACTTCATCCCTCATCTCCTGGGTGAAGCCAGAATTTAGCAGCCAGGAGTATATCCCTTTAATTGTAATTGCAGATGCAACAGATTGCCATAACAACACTGCCGACTTAGCCTCAAGGGAATGCCCTGTTAAGTCCAGACCTTTCTAAACCAGAGCCTTGAATATTTGTTAGTCACTGGCAACATATCAGTCACAGACATCTTATCCTATAGATGTAATCCTATTCAGCCACCACAGCTTAATAATTAGTTATGCAAATAGCCAAAACAGCTGAAAAGTACAATTTCCTGCCCAAATGGTCCAGTCTCCTGGACATCCTATCAGAAAATGCAGAATGAAAGGTCTTGTCAGCTCTTTGGTCTTTAACAAGTGAAACCATCAAGGAGCCTACCTGCTTTTCAAAGTTGCAGGGTCTATGCTATGCAGTATGTTATCTCACAGAGGTAAATTCTTGAAGTATGTGTTTTACACCTAATTGCCTTTTGTAAGCAACTGATGGTCTGTGGAAAACTGATAACATTCTTGTGACCCAAAGACCTCTTGATACCAACTGGCAGAGGGCACAGGTGTACATAAGGATACAGGGTGTCCTGGGTTCACCACAAATGTCAAGCAAGGTCTCTAAAGAAAGCCTGTGGCACTCTGCATCATAATCACTGTGAGAGGTATGTAACCACAATATCCGAGGCGTTATATACACATGCTGAAAATTATATTCTCTAGGCCTTGTAGTTGAAAAGACAGGTCACTCAAAAGCAGCGTGCCTTGAGACAAAATTCTACAAACAGGAGATGAGAGACACTTATCTCCCTGGTCTAGACCACTGTATATTGTGTGTCTTCCAATAGAAGTCTATCGGCATACTAAGTCAAATGCTAATGAAGAGCTTGCTTGCTGAGACCTCATAAGGAAATTAAAAGGAAGAGGTGAACAGCAGACAGGGAGGACAGCCCTGTTTTCAGGTGAAGATCAAAGTTCTGGTCTGCAATATCTGGGAGTGCAAAGAGATGCTCTGGTATCCTTCAGTCTGTAAAGACAGGCTGCCAGCAGGTTAGATCTCATAAAAGGGAGATCTCAGCCATCTTGGTTGAAAATGTTGGGAAAAGGACTTAGGGTAAGCTATCTTGTATGAGACCAGGAATGTCCTTGGGAGTAAAATTTAAGCTTTAGAAAGAGTATTATAATTTTGTTTTCTATGTAACAATTTGTTTCCAATATTCTCTCTATCATTTGAATCTCTGGTCTTTCATAATATATTTATAGTGAAAACAAGAATAAGTGTATCTAAGTACTGTGCATTAAGTGGAGTGGTGATCCTGAGTTAAAATTAATAAGCTGGTATGTACTATTCCTTTGGTAGTAGCAAATCTGAAAGTTCTGTATGTGTTCAGTGGAACAGGGGCTGGGCTCTCAAGAGGGATGCTCAGAGGACTTGGGGGTTGGTGTGTGCCTACCATTAACCAGTACAAAGTGAGCAGGGCCTCTTGAAACCTGGAAGGTAGGGCTTGTGCTGCCAGAGGCTAGTAGAGTCAAGGAGTTGATCCACAGCAAGCACAGACAAGACTTCCTCACACTAAGGGCACATGGTTGCGAGGTGCCTCACAATCTGGGGTACCCCTGGAAAGAATCAGAGCTCTGTTTTAGCCATGCCAGAATGTGGAAAGAAAGAACATTTTTTTCTTTTGTTCTTTCCTCAGAAACATAAAAAGGTCTGTATTCTTAATCCTACTACACATTTTTCACACAGTAGGATCCTACTACACATTTTTCAATTGAAGTTAATCCTTCTTCTGTGATACCATAATCATCATCTGGTGAAGATTAAGCAGTGAAAGCAAGCCTGGTTTCCCTGCAAATGTACCTAGGAATGAAAAATTAGCAATATTCTATATACCTAAATTGGGGAATACTGCAGAAACTAGTAATGTTTCTTAAAACAGAAGAAAATTTTAGGTGTGACCACTATACATGTAATAAAGAAAGGATTATTTCAATTATTCTATTGTAGATGATACTGGACTTTTATTATATTTCAGATGATTTAGCTATATTTATAAACACACAACATTTCATAAATTTGAAAATATGATTATTGGTAGATAAAAGTTTCCCAACAGAAATAATACAGTAATAGTAACAATAATCCAACATATTGTCCATTCTTCAAAACAGTTTTGATCACCCAAATAATATACACTGCAATTAAATGAAAGATAAAACAGTTTATATTGTACAGAAAAAAGTATTCTAAATCATACCTCAGGAGCTAGGTATTCTGGTGTACCACAGAATGTTTTCATAGTAGCTGCATCTGTGATTCCTTCTTTGCAAAGTCCAAAATCTGTAATTTTTATGTGGCCATCTTTATCCAACATTAGATTTTCTAACTGCATATTAGAAAAAGCACACACAGTTAGTCCTTAAGTATTCCTTAACAGGCTAATATACTACATGTCAACGAAAAAAACATAACTAAGCTATATCTGCTAGGTAACAAATTGCACTATAGTTTACTACGGTGCCATCAAGAGAGTGACTGTAGGCTCTATCAATAGACACCACAAGAGTTTGCTCAATATACTTCTTTCCCACAGAACAAAAGCAAAAAACACTTTCTAAAAATTTCCAAGACTCGCATAATTTCCGGAGGACCTATTGCAATCATCAGAGAATTGTTTGTTTGGCAAAATTTTATAGCTTTCCTCTATCTGTGCGTTACCTGCAGCTCAGGATCATGGAAATGACCTTCAATTGCTACATTTTACTTACATTCTATTTTCAAATATTTAAGGAACCAGAATGAAACCTGGTACAATTCTTACTGGGAATTATCCCAGAAAAATGACTAACACTAGTTCTCCAAAAGCTTCTTCTGTGTGCATAGAATTTGTTTGGACATTAAAAATAATTCAACATATATATACTGCAAACAGCAAAACATTGTTCTGAACTACTTTTCTGAATAGGAAACCTTAAACTTTCTCAGTAGAAAATGTGTTTATGAAAATGCTGATTCAACACTTGTGAACTACCTGACTTCACATCAAATAATGAATCTCTAGCATTCTCCAAGGAGATAGTAATCAGGGCCCCATGTATTCTGTGATTCCACAACTACAGAAGAATGGTGCATTAGAATTTTAGCTTTCTTTTTTAATAATGTTTCTAGTCCTTGTGGTCTAATGTGTAGCATTTTAACTAAACACAACCTTCCCCTCCCCCCCACACACACACTAACTCTGCTTTTCTCAAAACTGTAACTTTATAATTACTTTGAGTTTGTCCCAATAGTCTTTGCAAAAACAAAAATTTGATTACTTGTGTTGTTGTTTTTTTTACCTTGAGATCACGGTACACAATCTTCCCAGAATGCAGATAGTCCAAAGCAGAGACAATTTCTGCACCATAGAAGCGTGTGCGGTCCTCAGAGAACACCCGCTCTCTCGACAAATGGAAAAACAGCTGCAGGGTAAACAGCAGGGACAGGATTGTAATAATTACTGATTTAGTGGGGGAAATTAACACAAACATAAAACACCTCTCATCACCATATTGTGATGATAGATAGTGTACTCTCAGTGGACACTCAGCACTCTTAGACAGCAGCTGGCTTATCTTTTCCAGGTTTCCAAGGGGGGAAGGCGAGCTGTTAAATCAGCATTTTAATCAATATACCAATCTTGTTTAAGGCATTCTGCTTGCTACCCATTTAACCTTCCGTTACCAGAGGAAAGAAGTATGCAACAGCATCATCCTGTACTTTTCCCTCTACCTCCTCCTCCCAAATTTTATTTTTAGCTGTTGAGACATATCATTTAGACACCTGAACACAGATATTACTGTAAGATTTTTCTTCCTGTTAATTGCCTGACTTACCTCTGAACTGAGAAAATGTCTAGTCCTTAGCTGGATAGTCACCAAACAAGTGAAGTATGACATTATGCAACCACAACATATTACAGTATTTTACAAACCATAAAACAACTATCTGGTATTTTTGTAAAACCAAACCTATATATTTGTGGTATAATTTTGGTACACAAACTATACATTTACTCGATTTGATACTCTTCTTCTGTCCCCCTTTCAGCACTTCATAATTAAAATTTTACTCTGTAGACATTTCTTAAACTGAAAGTATTTAGTGAAAAAAATTAGTCATTAAATGATGCACATTATAAAACACAAAGAAAAAGCATAGCATGAATCTGAAGTTCTGTAGCTGAATAAGCCTCTTACGAACTAGTACAAAATAATAAAATAAATCCAACTCCCCCTCATCCCCAAAAGAAAAAACTTATAGCAGAGTTAAACTGCAGAATATGACTATTCATTCCATTCACTAGATATACCCCTTTTCTACTTTAGAGATGTGGACAGATTCTTTAAACACAACCAATCTTCAAAATCCATTAGTTTCCATCTACAGACTAGTTTGCTATTCTATATAAAACAGCTCATGTGACTTGGTATACATGGGCACCCTCTTTTCTCCCCACAAATTATATTAAAAATACTAACAAGGAATAATGAATAGCAGTCCTAAAAATATGGAAACCTTCGCTGTTTGCAAACCATGTACTGGACAAGAAAATCTACAGTAAAACTATATAGTGTTTTCATGCAGTGCTAAAAGAGAAGAAATAATTCCAAAACATAGGTTAAACATAAAAGAAATGCATAATAATAGATTTAACTTACATATTACCAAAAGGTAGCTAAACAAAGTTTGAAATACTAAACATTAATACAGCGTTGGATATGAAAATTAAATTACTTTTTAAATGTTTTTTGCAGTTATTTCAAGCTTGTAGACACTTCAAAATATAAATTATACATTAAGCATCAATACAAATATTTTGGTCAACAACTTCCCTGCAATTATATTTTAACATCATTTTTATTTTTTAGTTGCAATCTGAAAAAACATATATATTAAGACAGTATAGCAGTCTATATTTGTTGGTCCAGGTACCTCATGCAAAATTTAGATAACAGAGTTAGATACAATTTTGGATCACAAGCATTATCTCATTTTCTGTGTAACCTCCACCATTCTGTAAAAAAATTATATATTTTTTCATGAACACTGAAACTTTGTTTCCTAAGTATCTAATATGCTCCTGCTGCTTATTTCCTGCCTCACATAGCAATGTCCTTCTATGACAGCACAATTACTGGCAGTAGGGAAAATATTAGAAACTGATAATACTGGCATATCAGATACGGAATAAACAAAGAATTTATGAGCTAAGGAACAGAGACTGTTTTCATACAATGTCCCTAATATTCTAAAACAAGGGAGGAAAAACAAAATAAAATTTATACAGTATTAGAATAGTTTCTAAACAGAATTGTTTATCAAAGGTTTCCATGCAGTGTTCACCAAATGCATGGTAAAACTGAAATTTTCTCAAATAATGTTAAAATATAAAAGCGAGATACACATAAGTATTATGTCTTAGTCATGCTCTTCTTGTTTCACAGAAATGGAAACCAAGAATCATTCATCTTAAAAAAAAATTAAATGCTCAAAGTAATATAAAATAACGTGATTTTATTTATTTTGCTTTATAAAGCTAGTAACTAGACATTTTTCAAATTTAACAAATATATACTCCATAAAAACTATGTAGCCTTCTCCTCTGACATCTGGAAGAATCGTGAAAGAGAAGGAGATGTCTGGTTGCCCCCATATGAATGACTGTATGCAAGAGAGAGTTACAAATTTTCCATCTTCAGACTGTCCCAGTAGCTTAGCAGTAAAACTCCTCAGAACATTCTGGAACCTCAGGGGTTCAGCAATGTCAGAGCAGATAAAGCACTGAAAATAGAAAAGGTACGGATTTGAGCCAGCAGGAGTTGATAATCTACCTTGACAAAGCTTTTGATTATTTAGAGTTTGGTTTGGTTTTTTTCAAGTCCCTTATTGTAATTCTCATTCAAAATATCACATCCAAGATAGCAAGGCCAAATTAATACGGCTAGAAACTACTTGCAATAGGCCCATGGTTGCCACAGAAGACATGAGATCCCGAGTGAAGCTAATTCCAATATCAGGTCTGACAAGAGCTCAGTGCACTCAGGTAGCAGTTCTAACAACTATTAGCCTAATCTGTACCAAAAGGTCCCATATTCACTTTATCCAAGGACGCACAAGGTAGACACATTAAGTGAATCCATCTTTAAGAATCTCCTTCACCTGAGATTATATAGAAAAAGACCAGTGATACCTTCTCTCTGGTACTTTCTAGATTCACAAAGGATCAAATATCCAACCAGACACAGTTGAGTCAATAAAGGATCACTCAGACAGGCTTCAGAAATACATGCAAGGTCTGACATCCTCCTTCATGATTAAATCAGGTCTTATTAGCTATCAACTACACTTTAAGCAATAGAAGCTTGTAGTTAAAATCACTGTTTGCCATTGACCCACACCCCTAAAAGAAGGCCTCAGAAAAAGTTAAGTGGCCAGCAGGTCTGGTAACAAGTGTCAACCACTTGGTCTACCAGTAAAAAAAAAAAAGAATTGTCCCCCTACCTAGTGTCATTATTTATTTGTACAACTGTAGCGCCTAGGAACCCCAGACATAAACCAGGACCCCACTGTGACAGGTGCTGAACAAAAAACAAAAACACAGTCCCTGCCCCAAAGAGTTTACAATCTACGTATAAGACAAGAAACAATAGATGGATACAAAACAGATGGGGGACTAAAAAGGAACAATGAGACTATATTGTTCAGCAAGGTAAGCAGTGGTCTCAGCACACCAGCGGCCTAACTACTGTCAAGTTTGCCTTTCTTACCCCTCGCTAATCAATTCAGGAATACAAGATTTTCATCTAAATAATGTTAAAATTCAGGCTTACATCTCCTTTTTCCTTCCAAAAGCACAGTTAATTGTATAATAATTTATAATATAAATAAGATACAAGAGAAACAATCAATCTTTTGGAAATAAGTACCTTAAACTAGACACTTATTCAGTAACTGACTTGCAGATTTTCTTGAAAATCCTTTAAAATGACTGTGTTATAACCTAATGGAAATAGATCAATTCATCTGACCAAAAAAGTAGGGCAGGCCTTCTAGCCAAGTACTTGTCCCCATATTCTTCTTTCTTCCATAAGGCTAGATGGGTAGATAATTCAAAATGAATAATTTGCCTAACTTCACATCTTCCTCTTTGTGATTGTCTGTGAGGGAACGGTGATTTTTATCAGATTGATTTATTAATCTCTGAATGACTTCTGCAGATAGTTCTTGGTTTGTACCTTGTCCCTAAGCACTCTGTTACAAATATTCAAAATATGGACGATTTTGATCATTTACATAATCTTGGAAACAAATGTATGTTTCTGTGCCCAGAAGAGATGAACATAGCTAAGAACTGAATTTCCACTGCAAATATGTTAATGTGCTGCAAACATTCTGCAAATACATTTAAAATTGAAAATGTAGGTAACATTCCTATAGTAAACTCATTTACTAGAATGACAAAAATGTAAAGCCAACATGTATATATATATATATCACACACACACCCTCTACAAGAACAGTCAAATTTTTATTAAAAAATTTGAGAAAATAGTCAAAGAAAAAATATGCTGCGTCCATCCAGCTCTTGGTGGCACTTTAAATTTGGCAAATGAAGATCATGACATTCTTAAATATTGTCAAAAATACATCCATATGCTGTGATCTGAGATGACTTACTACAATGAAATATTATCTTCATTCATTGCTTCTCCATATGTTGTGAAAAGTTTAAGTTGTATTTTGAATACAGCTAAAAAGTTTCACAGTATATTTAATACAAGTCTCAATTTCTATCATTATCATAAAATTAAAATACAACAGAACAAGTATTCTGAAGATGGCTAATCAAGCAATGAGAAACAATAACCTGTGTAACAGTGCTGATTATTATATCCTCAAGTGCACAGGGAGACACAAAGCGAGGCATTTGGAGGGAGCATTAATAAGTATTTCTGCACACTCTGAACGGTATTAGTGGAAATATGAAATTTAAATTAATTGGGCCTGATACGCAGGTCCACTCTAGCAGTGGAAAGCAATAGATAACTAGATGAGCCTACCTAAAGGGAATCTCCAGATGGCAAAAAGCCAGTATAGAGGTTCACCCTCTTCCCTGCCCCAGTATAAGGGAAGATCCCAGAAGAAGGGGAGTGGGACAAGGATGTTCCTATTTTGGGCTGCAAGAATGGTCCCCAAGGTATAACTTAGATCACCTTTGAGGCTGTTCTAAATTATGCCTGGAACTGGACCAGCCATCGTAAAGCCAACTTTGTCCTCTATCCTGCTAGGAGTGCTCAGCATCTCTGTACCTAGCCAAGGATCTAGCCAATTTACTTTTAATTTTTAAATTAAAATATTCTTAAACTATGTATATTACAGATCATAATTAATTTTGAAAATCATGTGATCAACTAACCCA